TCCATTTTATCCGTTAAATTTTTAGCTTTAAAGGTTTTTTTTTTTTGAACATTTATATTTCTTTTTAATTTAATACAATACTTTAAATTAAATGAATATTTCAGGCATTATGCTTATCACTATCAAGTGATGCGTTATCAGGAGTGGATAACAATTGCAACAATAGCAATAATGGTAGCAATAATAACAGTCAAAATCGTAAGGTTATCTTACGTCCACGGGTTATATTGGATGGTGATTTATTGGATCCGACAGTATTTACACCGTCAACCGATAATATCGAAAATGACAGTGGAGTAGGAAGCCTTCAGGCTCGCATTCGTGATTCAGTAGCTTCTGCTCCTAGTCCTAGTCCAGTAATTTGCAATCCTAACACTATGCATACTTATTTCAGGCAATCTTTGATCAATTAATTGTCATAAATCTTTCATAACTTCGTAATGAGACTTATTAAAATTATATTGGTAAAATTAATAGGATTTTATTTGAAGTAATTAGACTTTTATTTCATATCTTTTTATCTTTAACAACTTTTTTTATTTTTTATCAAATAATTTAGCATTGTAATTTAAATCTCTTTCTCATATATTATCTATAATTGATCGTAGAGGAATATTATATTGCAAAAATATTATAACCATTGAAGGTTTCCATTCTGTATCAAATAATCTTTTCATTAATAACTTTTGAAAAAGAAAAAAAAAAAAAAAAAACTTTTTACATATTCATTCATAAACAAATGCATTTATCATCTGTGCCACATAAATAAATTCCATGTTCCAATTGTATTTTTTATTTCTTTCAAATGCTTCATGTTATTTTAATAAACTTTATATGTGTTTTTCACAAATGTTAAATTTACTGATATAACAAGAATTTGAAAAATTTCGAGAAAGAAAGTATTTTATTGGTGAGTAAGAAAATCTTATAAAATTTTAAGTTTAAATTTGATAGAGTAAGAATTCTTCTTTTTTTTCTTTTTTTTTTGCAACTTTTTGGTGTTTTAAAAAATCCTCAAGGTCATATTTTTCCATTGTTATTTTGAATACGAAAGAGATGCCAATGATGATGATGATGATGATGATGATGGTGGTAAAGGTAGATGGGTTCCAAATCTTTCCGATTTAATTTTTTAAATTAAACTGCGATAATTTTCAAGGTAATCCACTTTTATTTCTCCTTTCTCCTTTCCCAAAACGAATATCACATGAAATTCAGGATTTCAAAAATTGTCAACAGGTAAAAAATATTATTGAAAACAATAATAAATATTATGAATACGGATGAATATGAATTTAATAAATTATACAAATTTATTTCACAAATTAAATCTAACAATGCTGATGGTAATTGTAGAGAAAAAAAAAAAAAAAGTTATAAAAATAATCGATAAAATCTAAAAAAAAAAGAAAAAATATATGCATATACTATTAAACATTGTCTATTCTAATAATTATTTCACAATTTTTCCGATAATTACCATAAAATGTATCTATTGATTTTTAAAATGTTTATTTTCAAATTAAAAATCAAATTATCCGAATATCTAGTTGTTTTTCGAATGTTGTCAAAATTAAATGTCAACTATATTGATGTGAAATCATCCATCTTTCCCATGCTACCTATCTATCTACCTATCTATCCTCAATATCATCTTCCTATCCTCTCCCATTGTTCCTGCTATCATCCCATTCATTCATCTATTCATCAACTAACAATCATAGTTGGAATCATGTTAGATAGCTGTCCTCCTCTTTTTTGCCCTTCTTCTTCTCTCATGGGATACCATTTGTGCATATATGTTTTTTTTTTCCTACTTCTTTTT